TATTCAGTTGCCAGTCCGATGTACGCTAGGCAAAAGAGATGACAGTGACAAGGGCAAGTGTGAGAAAGTTCCCTCTCTTCACACACCTGGCTCTGGGTCTCAGAGGCAATCAAAATACAATGTCAAAGAGACATGTTTTTTTGGATCTGAACAACTATTTACCCACATTAAAGCGTCTGGGTCAAAATGACCCGCAACATCACCTTTGTATACAAACTCTGCACAGACATTCCACTACACATCAAAGTGTCCAAATTTTACACATCAGTTCATGACCCTAGATGAGGAAAAGTCACCAAATTTCAGCAAGAACAAGAAAGGATAACAAGTACTTTGATCAACACAAAAACTGAAATGGGTCAAATTGACCCTTAATATAATACAAGGGTTAAAGAAGAAATACAATGCAATATCTTTGGAGTTTAAAATATGAAAATGAAACCGATTACTTTGTCTTTTTCGTGTTTTAGAATTTGGACAAATATCTTAAAAATGAGTGTATAGTAAGACAAGTATGAAGGCTACAAAAATGCTTTCTGTCTGTAATACCCTGTGCCACCAGCAGAGGAAGAAGGCTTTTAGGATTTGTTTTGTTTTTATTTACTAACTTTGAAACGGTCTGGCTGCAAACACACTCATGCATTTGTATAGAATGTAATTTTACTTCAGAAATTGCCAAAACAATTTTATGGGCTATACTTTTGTTTGATGTCATAGGGCTATAATGACATCAAAGTATTACAGGACTGAGACAGGAGCTTTTTGATAGAAGGGGCAGAGCTGGCTGAGTGGATAGCACTCTCGCTTCTCAGCATGAAGGTCCTGAGTTTGAATCGGAACAGGGCCTTTCTGAGTGGAGTTTGCATGTTCTCACCGTGTCTGCGTCGGTTTCCTCCGGGTGCTCTGGTTCTCCTACCACTAAAAAAAACCAAAAACATGTACAATGGGTAAAATCCTCCAAGCATCAAGATCTGGAGATTGGTCCCTGTGCGCTGTAGTACGACGACCACTGCTCCTGACGGAAGCCTTAGTGGCATCAGGATGGGTCAAATGCAGAGGATGAATAGCCCCACAGCAGGGATGAATTAAATTAACCTTAACATGTTTGTGCCTGAAGTTCCTTATAAGAGCATGGATGGATCTAAAAACAACTCCAGGTCTGTTTCATAATATTTCTGCTCTAAGTAACTGTGGACCTCAGAAAATTTGGCCTGAACTGAAACGCAATCTGCAAATGTGTCGTGTGGTGAAGTCTAATGAGTTTAAAGCAGAGCAACGTGAAAGTGTGTTTGGTGCCAGTGTGACATCCAGAGCCCTAATGCCCTCCAAAAAATCTCCTCCTCGTTTGTGTCGTGACTAAAACTCGCTGTCATAATATCTAACTGGATTTCCAAAAATGTGAACGTGTCTAATTTTAGCTTGCCTCGGCTTCCAATGTGTGTGATAGGAAGTCCACATGATTTTATTTACTTTATTTTTACTACATATTTGAATGGGAGTTTTCCTTCTCCTCGCAGCACACGCTCTTACATCAGCAGATCAAGACTGAACATTGTCTGGTTTTAAATCAATGAAACGTAAGGGTCTAACTTTAACACAGTCAAAGTTTCCGAGGCACACTGAAGGATTCAAATAAACTGAAAAAATGAAAGTGAGTTCCTATTCCTATTGTACATGTTTTTAGGGGTAGGGGAAACCGGAGCACCCAGAGGAAACCTACCCAGAAACGGGTACAACGTGCAAACTTCACTCAGAAAGGCCCTGTTCCGACCGGGATTCTCAGCCACCGTACCCCTGATTTAGAATATAAGATTGGATGAGATTAGAGATCCTTTATTCGTCCTACAGTGGGGAAATTTCAATGTTGCAGCGCACTTACAGGACAGTAGTAGGAGCACACAGGGACCACATAAAATGTACAGAATGAGTACGTAGCTATGTGTCTTAGCTAGCTGTAAATGATGTATTCATTATAAATGTAACCACTCCACTCCACTTTTTTGAGATAAATGTGTCACATGACCAACCAAAAAGTCACAAAAGCACAATGAAAAATACATAGAAAAAACACAAGTAATAAACACATTACACTGACAATAATGAAGTGAAAACAAAAGGAAAGTAATAAAGATGTTTAGTTGGCCTATTGTCTTTCCAATAATTGGTTAGTTGTTTGGATCCCAAAAGGTCAATGAATCAGAATTATTTTTTTATTTCCATGTGAGTAACAAGAAGTCAAACACTAGGAGATTACTTGAAATATATATTGTTGTTGTAAACATTTGACCAAAACAAAGCTGGAGTGATGCCCCAGAAACATGTTCACAGATAGGACCCTTCAGCTTCAGCGGTCTGACAGGATCTGGCTTTCACCTGCAGGTGGCGCCACAAAAAAAATTGCCAGATAATTTTCTTCTCTGATTTCATGGTTATGCGGATGATCGCCGGCCACGCTTGCTCAAAAAAGTTCCTTGACCACTTTTTCTCTGATGTTCAAGGGTCAAAGCAAAAAGGCACTCCGCAGGTCTGAATAAGGAAGTGCACTGGACTAAATATATACAAATGTGCCACAGGGTTTTAGATGATCATATTTAGTCGACAGAAGCGTGTTATTTCCCCTTCAGTGACTTTCTAATGTTTTGAGCCTGGGGTCTTTGTGCGTGTTTGAGTTTCATTGAAAGCAGTTAAATCGCAGTCGTGAAAAAAAGGTTCTTAGGTCGACACAGGGCCGAACTGTCAAAAACTAGTATAACCGGTGTTGTTTTAGTCGTGATATGTTGCTTTGATTTTAAGTATATTTTGAGTTTATATTAATACTTTTTGGATATACACTTTATTTTTATTTTTTTAAGTCAGGGCTTAACTTATGAATTGCAAAAATGTTCAAAAAATAATATGTGTGTGTCTAGTTTTTAGTATTTTTGCGTTAGACTTGAACAATACATATTCATTAATTTAATTTATTTTCTACTTATTCTTAGAACTTTTGAATTTGAATTTGTACTGTTATGTATTTGACTATTATCCTTTTGTTATTGAGTTTGAACCGTGAAAATAAAATATAGGGGGGGTTACCATCATATATTCTTGCCTTGGGTGCCTGATGACCTAGATCCGGCCCTGGGTCACCACAATGTACTTCAGGTCATTATCAAAGAGATTCAAGAAGTAATTATAAAAAAAGGTTCATATTAAAGATTCCATGCCATCCCAAATATTTAATCTATGTCACGAGAAGGCTTTCTAGTCCTCTACAGTAAACTAAGAACATGAACAATAGAAGTAAAATATCATACAGAAATTGTGGACTTGTAATCATAAAATGCAGGTTGTTTTCGTAACAACGCTAAACAGACTAGTTTCTTTCCACACTGACTTTAGGTGAGTTATAAGTGGGTCAAACAAAAGTACTAATAACAGATGGCGCTAACTTTTTATTGGCTGAAACTCACCACCATTGGATGTGCTTTATAATTGGCTTTCCTCCTGTTACGACTAGTGTAGAAAGTACAAGCACAGAAAATTGAGAGAATAAGGACACATGATTTGGTGCCACATATTCGCGAGCTACAAAACTCATTTGGTCGTTTTTTTCTTTTTTCCCCTTATTAACCCTGGTCCGGAATGTTGAGAGCTGGACCCTTATGTGCCTGACGAAAAAGTCCTTCACTCGGCTGGCAGTCCCTCACTCACACTGCCAATTTTCACTGTGCAATTCCACAACTAATCCAACTAGCAGCGCACGGACATGGAAGCTGCCATCCTGCTGCGAGGCCGTGAGCGCTGTAATGATGGTGGGACACAGGGCTGTACGGGCGGCTCCGGGCACCTATTGTTTTCTGCTTATGCTGTATGTGCTACCTGGGCACGTTTGCAATTCATTTCAGTTCAATCTATTTTTGTATGGCTCTAAATGACAGCAGCGGTCTTATTGGAGTTCAGTTATGGATCAGTTAACACAGCAGATTAGGGATGTACCGAATCCAGATTTTTAGGGTTCGGCCGAATACCCAATCTACTGGTTAAGATAGATGACCAAATGCCGAATCCTACTCCATCCTCAGTCATTATGTTTCACACGCAAATGTTTTAACAGCGGCGATGTTGTGTACTGTTTAGAGTCCTTACCAAAATCAGCTTTGCAAATTGAACATGTAGCTCGACTAGAATCACCTTCTTTGGACTAAAAGAAAGTACTGCCAAACAACACTTTTTCTGCTCACGAGTTCCATTTTCACTTTCTCACTCACACAGCCTGAGCTACTGTATTCAAGAGAAAATACTTTTAGTAGCCGCACAGCTAGCGCCCAGATGCATTCAAAGGCACAAGGAAATGAGGCTAACACATAGACAGTTTAATTCTTGATTAGATTCACTGTCCTTTTACTTGTTTAATCATCATATACCTGTTATGTGTCTCCCTGTGTTGTATTTCTGAAGAAAAAAAATTTGAATAAAATGGTAAACTGACTATGTGTTATCCTCATCCCAGAGACGAAATGTGTCCAAACAACACAGAAAAATCCATTAAGGAGGAAGTAAGTCTGCGAGCACCATCTGCATGTGTGGTTTGTTTGTATCCGCGGGTGGAAATCTCGCACTTCCGCTTTCCAGCCCTAAGGGAAGGCACTTTCATAATTGGGACGGGGAATCCCAAACCGACCTGTATATTTGTGTCTGTTATGTTGATTTTTGAGATGTGTTTGTCAGGTTTTGCCTATCTATCTATCTAGTCTAGTTATATGCTACCGCGAGAATACCCCCGAGCACTATTCCTTCAGCCCCAAAATATCCTATACAACGATCCTCGAACGAACTCCATTTGTGTCCGCCATCTTAAACACGCCGGGTGGGTGTGTGGATTTCGCAAAAGATCCGTTCCACCCGCCATTTCCCTCCGATGAGGAGGGGGGGTGGGACCACAAAACAGTTCGCCAGTACATTTAAAAAGACAAAAAAAACAGCCATCATGTAAGATAAGATTTCATATCATCATAGCGCTACATGTCTCGGCACCAAAAACAAATAAAATCCCCTAGCCCTTCCTCCCATGACACGCAGACCCAATGGAACCAGCTGTGGCAGGTGTCACACTGGACCCATGGCACCGTCTTTCCTTGGCCGGGTGGATCCACCTTTCTGCACATTCCACATCCTTTTTTGGCTCTTTTGGCCGAGGGAGCTGTAAAAACGGAGAATCATTAATAACATCTTAATTATTAAGACTAAATTAACTAGGCAAACAAACACTAGCTGACATTGATGGTGTTACTAGTTTCAGTAGTGTCAGGTTTTAGGGAGGTAGTGCACTGTTTGCAAATGTTATTAAACAGTGGGAGGAATTCCACTCAATGTGAATCTGAGACGATGACTATTGTATGCCTATGGTATACATACGGACGGTCTCAGTGTTATATTTTTGAAATATGCCTCCAATGGTCTATTCTATTTTATTACCAACAGATGCCATGGGTCTGGTAGAGGAAGGGCTAGAGGACGACTGGAGACCTGGAAGAAAAAAAAAACGTATGTTACCCGTTCTTTTATTTGATATAGGCATAATAAACAGATATAAATGAGGTTTTTCTGTTTGTAAATATTTAAATATTGAAGATCCTAGTAAGGAATACTTACAGTGCATGGCAGTTATTAGTTTTCTGGGACCTAGGGGGCCTCTTGATGTAGATGGTTCTACAGGTGAACAAACACAGAGACACATAGTTGAGTAATAATGAATTTTAGAAAAATACATAAATGAAGAATGGTCTTAATAACACAGTACCTCGAATATGTTGGGCCGGTGCTGCAGGCAGGCTCCTAGTTGGTATTCGAGGAGAGTCAGGCAGCTGAAGACCGTGGGAGGTTTGAAAGGGGATTGGAGGGGCTGAGAGGCCGGTGGTGGAATGTCCGGAACTGGCAGATGAGCACCCGGGGTTTGCACTGATGCGGATGGGCTGGGAGTCACCAGCTATGGCGGAAGTGGCTTCCAGCTGGATCTCTTCAGCCCGCTGCTGCTCTCTGTCTCTTCTGGCCAGAGCTTGAGCCTCCCTCCTCGCAGCTCTGTCTTCTGCCTCCTCGATGGTGGTAGCCATGTCCTCCGCCGTCAAGATGCGCGCCTTTGCAATGTTCCTCCTTAACCTGCCTTGGCTTCTATGGAATTTCACCTCCATTAGCAGGTCAGCCAGGTCAGGGGGGATCCTTCCCGACACCACCAGAGGATGGGCTAAGATGGAATCAGGCGGTGGTGGAGACGGCGGTGGTGGAGAAGGCGGTGGTAGAGAATGCGGTGGTGGAGAAGGCGGTGGTGGAGAAGGCGGTGGTGGAGAAGGCGGTGGTGGTGGAGGCGGTGGTGGTGGAGGCGGTGGTGGTGGAGGCGGTGGTGGTGGTGGAGGAGGAGGCGGTGGTAGTGGAGGCCCATATGGCTTGATCCGGGACCAGTCAACGGCCCCCGGATCCAAGGGGAAGAGGCCACACTTTCTGAAACCTCCAACCACAAAGCCTCTATCCCTCATCTTCAGATATGAGTTTTTGAGGACCCTTGAAAACTCCTTTTTGGAAAGTGTAGTTGTTCTATGTGGCTGGCTCACAGCCGACAGATCCCCAGTTGTGCCTGCAAAATCTGCCTTCAAGGGTCCAAAAAAACTCACATCCAAGGGCTTAAGGATGTGTGACGTGTGCGGCGGGAGGCACAAAAGGATGACCCCTGCCCCCTGTGCCGCCTGGATCAGCTCTGGCCCGAGGTGGGATGTATGACCGTCCATAACCAGCAGCAGCGGGCGCTCCTGGGTGGCATGTTTTAGGAAGTGCTGGTTAAATCACTTCACAAACAGATCATTGTCCATTTATCCAGCCGGTGACTTCCCATAAAGAGCATTGGGGACCCCTTCTTTATTATAAGGGCCCCCCGGATATCCCCCCTTGTAGATAATGAATGGGGGGATATCCTCCCCAGCCGCATTTAAACAGGCCAGGACGGTGATATGCTCCCTGGTGCCTGGAGCCTGTCTGTACGCGTGCTTGGTACCCCGGGGCACGACGACTTTCCTCCTCTGGCTGTCCAGCTGAAACCCGTCTCGTCGCAGTTGTAGATGCAGTGGGGTTTCCCTCTCAGCCCGTACCTGTCCATTGTCGAGGACAGTAGATTGAAATAGTCCTCGACAGGCCCCCTCTTCGCACAGGATGCTCTCCCACGGTCAATAATATCTGGGGTCCTGGTGGTGAGCCGTTGGTTTTGTCTCTCCCTGAAGTTGACCCACCACGTCTGGCTCAGCGCCACCTTTGGTGTTTGTGGGTGGCGCCGGTTGAAAATTGCCAAAGCGTGGGTCACCACCTGTGACTTTGTCAGTGGGAATCCAAAGCTGGCGGAGTACAGGCAGTACTCCACCAGCGCATTCTCATCTTTCTCAGAGAGAAGTGGCCTCTGACCATAGGTGCTGTCAGAGGCCACTTTCCCACTGACTCGGTCTCGCAGGGTGGACTTGGGGACCCCAAAATGGACAGCTGCCTGCCTATAAGAGAGCCTGCCTGCCCGCACTTCATCAATGGCCCCCTGCATGGCCACCGGATTCCAAATACGGAACTTTCTTTGTCGTTTCCTGATTACACGTATGCTCGGCATCTATGGAGAAGAAATACATTTATACATTTATAAAATACAAAATTGCTTATTATATTTTATTGATTGTAACTATTGTACATCAATTGTCAGCCCATCCATCCATTTTCTTCCGCTTTATCCGTTGCCGGGTCGCGGGGGCAGCAGTCTAAGCAGAGACGCCCAGACTTCCCTATCCACACACACTTCCTCCAGCTCATCCGGGGGGACCCCAAGGCGTTCCCAGGCCAGCTGAGAGACATAGTCCCTCCAGCGTGTCCTAGGTCTTCCGCGGGGCCTCCTCCCGGTGGGACGTGCCCGGAACACCTCCCCAGGGAGGCGTCCAGGAGGCATCCGGAACAGATGCCCGAGCCACCTCAACTGGTTCCTCTCGACGTGGAGAAGCAGCGGCTCTACTCCGAGCTCCTCCCGTGTGACTGAGCTCCTCACCCTATCTCTAAGGGAGCGCCCAGCCACTCTGCGGAGGAAGCTCATTTCGACCGCTTGTATCCGCGATCTCGTTCTTTCGGTCATTACCCAAAGCTCATGACCATAGGTGAGGGAGGGAACAAAGATTGACCGGTAAATCGAGAGCTTTGCCTTTCGGCTCAGCTCCCTCTTCACCACAACGGTCCGATACAGCGACCGCATAACTGCGCACGCTGCACCGATCCGCCTGTCAATCTCACGCTCCATTCTTCCCTCACTCGTGAACAAGACCCCGAGATACTTGAACTCCTCCACTTGAGGAAGGACCTCTCCACCCACCTGCAGAGGGCAAGGCACCTTTTTCCGGTCGAGCACCATGGCCTCGGATTTGGAGGTGCTGATTCTCATCCCAGCCGCTTCACACTCGGCTGCAAACCGCCCCAGTGCATGCTGCAGGTCCTGGTTCGTTGGAGCCAACAGGACAACATCGTCCGCAAACAGCAGAGATGAAATCCTGTGGTCTCCGAACCGGACCCCCTCCGACCCCTGGCTGCGCCTAGATATTCATCAATTGTATAAGTTCTAATGTGTTCTAGGCATGCAGAGACATTGTGGTGCATGTTACCTGTGACCTTATCAGTGTCCATGTCATGTCATGTTCTGCACAATTCTTTAAGTCCTGTGGATAACAAAAGCACAGACACACACCTACCGTCCTACTAACTTGATAATATCCTATCTCAATCTTTCCCTTTCCTAATCTCTTATGTCTTTCTCCTCGATCTAGCCTTCAATACACAAAAAGACAGAAACATAAAGCAATGCAATACTATAAATAATAATAAATACTCAAACAGAAACTTGTTCTATGATAGCTATGTGGTAGAGCCCCAAGGGGGCGCTGTTGTTGGAGTATAATCGTGGAACTGACGTTAAATTACATTTTGTGACTTCAGGAGGGCTATATTTTGCAGGAATGTTGGGTAAAAACATTTTTTAATATGAATTCATTTATAAGATGTGCACTAACCTAACCATTAACTACTTGCTACTTGCTAGTATCCATAAACTGATGTTTTAGCGTGTTTTTGAAACCCCAAATCTGTGAACAGACTCCTCGGGTTAGATTTTCAGAGCAAGCAACTGGACAGCAGGATTAAAAATGTAAATACTTCATTAATATAGCTAATTTTACACTTGTGTATTTATAAGACTAGTAACGTGCATTGACAATAGTTGATCTACCAATGTGACCGTTAAAAACAGACGAATTTGGCCTTTTAATCCGTAAAACAGAGAGTGAAAATGAGAGCTCTCCTGTTGTCAGAGCGTCGTCAGAGCGTCGCCTAAGCACTTCATGCAAGCATTTCCGTAAAAAGCAACTTCAAAACATGATTACTCAATGAAATTAGCACATTCATGAACAATTTTTTGCACAAATTAACATTAACATGTGTAGAGTACCACCTTAACGTGGTGGGGGAGTTTGAGCACTCGGATGATCCTGGGAGCTATGCTGTCTGGGGCTTCATGCCCCTGGTAGGGTCTCCCATGGCAGACAGGTCTCAAGTGACGAGTCAGACGAAGCGCAGTCCGAAGCCAACCATGGACAGCACGACAATGAGAACCCTGACGTCGCCCGGCATGGCGCAGCCGGGGCCCCACCCTGGAGCCAGGCCTGGGGTCGGGGCTCGCAAGCAAGCGCCTGGTGGCCGGGCCTTAGCCCACGGGGCCCGGCCGGGCTCAGCCCGAAGGGATGACGTGGGCAGTCCCTCCTGTGGGCCCACCACCTGCAGAGGGGTCCGTGGTGGCGAGGTGCAGAGAGGACTGGGCAGCAGTCGAAGGCGGAGACCTCGACGACCCAGTCCACGCACCCAACATCTGGCTCTTGGGACGTGGAACGTCACCTCACTGGGGGGGAAGGAGCCCGAGCTTGTGGGGGAGGTTGAGCGATACCGACTAGAGATAGTCGGCCTCACCTCCACACACAGCTTGGGCTCTGGAACCCAACTCCTTGAGAGGGGTTGGACGCTCCACTTTTCTGGTGTTTCCCGCGGGGAGAGGCGGCGAGCTGGGGTGGCGAGCTGGGGTGGCCATACTCATTGCCCCCCATCTCAGCCGCCACGTGTTGGAGTTCTCCCCGGTGAATGAGAGGGTCGCGTCCCTCCGCCTCCGGGTGGGGGACAAGTCTGTCACTGTTGTGACGGCCTACGGGCCTAACGGTAGTGCAGAGTACCCGGCCTTCTTGGAGTCCTTGGGAGGGGTACTGGACAGTGCACCGCCCGGGACTCCGTTATTCTCCTGGGGGACTTCAACGCCCATGTGGGAAATGCCAGTGACACTTGGAGAGGGGTGATCGGGAAGAACGGCCCCCCTGATCTGAACCCGAGCGGTGTTCAGTTGTTGGACTTCTGTGCCAGTCACGGCCTGTCCATCACGAACACCATGTTCGAGCACAAGGGTGTCCATCAGTGCACGTGGCACCAGGACACCCTAGGCCGGAGGTCGATGATCGACTTTGTAGTCGTATCATATGACCTTCGACCACGTGTTTCGGACACTCGGGTGAAGAGAGGGGCGGAGCTGTCAACCGATCATCACCTGGTCGTGAGTTGGATCCGCTGGCAGGGCAGGAGGCCGGTCAGACCTGGCAGGCCCAAGCGTGTAGTGAGGGTTTGCTGGGAACGTCTTGCTGAGCCCCCTGTCAGACGGACTTTCAACTCACACCTCCGGGAGAGCGTCTCCCAGGTCCCGGCAGAGGAGGGGGACATCGAGTCCGAGTGGACCATGTTCTCTTCCTCTATCGCCAATGCAGCGGCTCGTAGCTGTGGTCGCAAGGTCTCTGGTGCTGGTCCCGGCGGCAATCCCCGAACCCGGTGGTGGACACCGGCAGTAAAGGATGCCGTCAGGCTGAAGAAGGAGTCCTATCGAGCAATGATGGTTCGTGGGACTCCTGAGGCAGCTGTCCAGTACCGGCAGGCCAAACGTGCCGCGGCCCGGGCTGTTGCAGAGGCAAAAACCCGGGACTGGGAGGAGTTCGGAGAGTCCATGGAGCATGACTATCGGTCGGCCTCAAAGAGGTTCTGGCAAACCGTCCGGCGCCTCAGGAGGGGGAAGCAGTTCTTTGCCAACACCGTGTATGGTGCGGGTGGAGGGCTGCTGACCTCGACTGGGGATATTGTCGGGCGGTGGAAGGAATACTTCGAGGTTCTCCTCAATCCCCCCGTCACGTCCTCCGTCCAGGAGGCAGAGGCTGAGGATGTTGGGGCGGATACTTCCATCTCCCTGGCCGAGGTCACCAAGGTGGTTGGCAGCCTCCATGGTGGCAAGGCGCCGGGAGTGGATGAGATCCGTCCTGACTATCTAAAGTCTCTGGATGTTGTAGGACTGTCTTGGCTGACACGTCTCTGCAACATCGCGTGGCGATCGGGGGCAGTGCCAATGGAGTGGCAGACCGGGGTGGTGGTCCCTCTCTACAAGAAGGGGGACCGGAGGGTGTGTTCCAATTATCGTGGGATCACACTCCTCAGCCTCCCCGGTAAGGTCTACTCCAAGGTACTGGAGAGGAGGCTACGTCCGATGGTCGAATCTCGGATTCAGGAGGAGCAGTGTGGTTTTCGTCCCGGTCGCGGAACACTGGACCAGCTCTATACTCTCCATCGGATACTCGAGGGTTCATGGGAGTTCGCCCAACCTGTCCACATGTGCTTTGTGGATTTGGAGAAGGCGTTCGACCGTGTTCCCCGGGGTGTCCTTTGGGGGGTCCTCCGGGAGTACGGGGTCCGGGGTCCTCTGCTGAGGGCTGTTCGGTCCCTGTATGACCGGAGCCAGAGCTGTGTCCGCATTGCCGGCAGTAAGTCAGACCTGTTCCCGGTGCATGTTGGCCTCCGCCAAGGCTGCCCTTTGTCACCGGTTCTGTTCACTGTATTTATGGACAGAATCTCTAGGCGCAGCCAGGGGCCGGAGGGGGTCCGGTTCGGGAACCACAGGATTTCATCTCTACTTTTTGCGGATGATGTCGTCCTGCTGGCTCCAACGAACCAGGACCTGCAACATGCACTGGGACGGTTTGCAGCCGAGTGTGAAGCGGCTGGGATGAGAATCAGCACCTCCAAATCCGAGGCCATGGTGCTCGACCGGAAAAAGGTGCCTCGCCCTCTCCAGGTGGGTGGAGAGGTCCTTCCTCAAGTGGAGGAGTTCAAGTATCTCGGGGTCTTGTTCACGAGTGAGGGGAGGATGGAGCGTGAGATTGACAGGCGGATCGGTGCAGCGTGCGCAGTGATGCGGCCTCTGTATCGGACCGTTGTGGTAAAGAGGGAGCTGAGCCGAAAGGCAAAGCTCTCAATTTACCGGTCAATCTTCGTTCCTTCCCTCACCTATGGTCATGAGCTGTGGGTAATGACCGAAAGAACGAGATCGCGGATACAAGCGGTCAAAATGAGCTTCTTCCGCAGAGTGGCTGGGCGCTCCCTTAGAGATAGGGTGAGGAGCTCAGTCACACGGGAGGAGCTCGGAGTAGAGCCGCTGCTTCTCCACGTCGAGAGGAACCAGTTGAGGTGGCTCGGGCATCTGTTCAGGATGCCTCCTGGACGCCTTCCTGGGGAGGTGTTCCGGGCACGTCCCACCGGGAGGAGGCCCCGGGGAAGACCCAGGACACGCTGGAGAGACTATGTCTCTCAGCTGGCCTGGGAACGCCTTGGGGTCCCCCCGGACGAGCTGGAGGAGGTGTGTGTGGATAGGGAAGTCTGGGCGTCTCTGCTTAGACTGCTGCCCCCGCGACCCGGCAACGGATAAAGCGGAAGAAAATGGATGGATGGATGGATGTGTAGAGTATGCTTACCCAAGGGCGTAGGTTTGCGTGGGGACCATGGGGACATGTCCCCACCAATATTTGGTGAGGACTAAAAAGTCCCCACCAAAATGACATGATGTCCCGGGACCCGGACGGTCCGGGACACATGTCTTCCGTTTGTGCACACGTCGCGCCTCCTCCTCGCCTCCAGAGCAACAGCAGCAGCAGCAGCACGTGACCCGTTCCGTTCTCTGCAGTGATTGGCTGTCTTCTTCAGCGCCAAACTGAAGCACTGAGCGACTGTTTAATTTTTAAAAGTTAGCCAGCGTGAAGCAAGTGTTTTTTTTCGTTCCCTGAGCGTTGTAGCACGTGAGTAATCAGAAGAAAGTACTGTAGATCTATTACCATTCAAAGTACTTACGTTATTTCTAATCTGTCAGCGCACTGTTTAATGTTCCGAGGAGCTCACACGGCACAGAGACAGAACAGAACTGGCTCCAATAAAGAAACAGGTTGGTTGAAAGGCTGAAAAAATACTTATTGTGCTCTTACTATCCAAAATGTATAAGTGGGTGTTTTGTGTGAATCAGGATAAACTAGGGATGAAAATATTCCACGGATCCACGATTTACAACCTTTATCTGCTGATAATGTGATTTCTGTGAAATGTGTGACAGCGGGCACTTGCTGTTATTTGCTCTAAGCACATTCAAGCGATGCACTCGAATGTGCACGTCCTGGTGCAGCTGCTGCCGCTTTGTAATGACAGCCGCGGCGCTCAGTGAAAGCACAGCTCTAACATGGTACCGAGCTCGGACCATTTGCAGACAGAACCATGTTGCAAGTGCGGGTCTCCCTCG